TCACAGAAATTCAGGAAAATTTCGATTTGAATGCGAGTTTTTTGTGAAATCAGGTTAATTTTTCTCTTTATAAGGAAAGTTGTTTTGGATTTACTGACAAAAATTGAAGAAAACGCCGATTTTAACGCTAGTTTTTTTTATGAAATAAAGTATCTCTATTTAAATTGAAAGTAAGTTCAGGTTCGTATCAGGATCCAATTTTTAGTGGCAATTTAAAAAAGATTCTTCCCAGAAAGTCTCGAGATGAAGAGTAATCATATTCAGTCAAATGCCAAAAATGAAGAAAAACGCCAATTCGAATTAAAGTTTCTCTTTGAAACAGAGCATGCTTTTCTTTTTATAAGGGGAGAAAATTCCAATTTTGTGCGGCATTTTTTTAAATTTCTTGTTTTAAAGAATCGAAGCGAAGTCAAAGGTTTTTTGCATTCAAATGCCAAAAATTCACATATTTACGATATTCCAGTGCAAGTTCCGTTAATACCTAAATGTTGACTGTTGAATGTTTTAAAATTACTCTCAACTTGAAAAGCTTAATTTCCGTATTTCTGTTTATCTGGCGATTTTATTGCTAAAATGCCCATTGCTTGTGACGTCCCACGAAATGCCACGTTTGTTTAAAAGTACGTCTTCTTAACTCGAATTGAGATCTATTGAAGACTCTTAATAGTCCAGTCATATTAGTCAAAATAGGGTAACGATCTCGGAATTCAAGATAACAAGCTGTAAACTCGTATAAACCTTATCTTAACATTCTAAAACTTGTCTGAAAACCTACTTATGATTTATGATAGTGTGGACGCGACTGTAGATAACTCCGGTCAAAACTAAAAAACTTTTCTTTGCGCATTTTTTGCAAATATTTCGTTTCCTGTAAGTTTTACGGTAGTTGAATTTATTTTAAATATTGTAGCGGATTAAAATGTCCACAACTTCTGTTTCAAGATTTTTTTTATACGTTACTTAAACCGCTTTAGAGATAACTCTGAAGTGGAACATTCATTTGCCTGGACTATAAAAAGTAGCCCCACTTTGAGACGACTAACGACCATTGCAACCCCGAACCTTTGGCATTATTTTCGTATTAAATTTGATTTTTATTACAGATGACTGTTGGAGGCCATGTTGGTTATTCGGTACGATTTGAGGACGTTACCTCACCCAAGACAAAAATCAAGTTCCTGACTGATGGAATGCTGTTGCGCGAAGCACTTAAAGACCGATTGCTGTGTGACTATCGTGTGGTGATACTGGATGAGGCGCACGAGAGGACGATTCATACGGATGTGCTCTTTGGCATCGTAAAAGAAGCCCAACTGATACGCGAAGTGAAAAAACTGCCGCGCCTGAAGATAATCGTTATGTCGGCCACAATGGATGTAGACCACTTTGCCAATTATTTCAATTGCCAAGTGGTTTACCTCGAAGGGCGAACGTACCCTCTGAATATCCGCTACACCACACATGCACAAGAGGACTATCAAACCGCCTGCATCTATACGTTCTTCCGAATCCACCAAGTAACTCCTCCGGAGGATGCCGTTCTGATCTTCCTCACTGGGCAGGAGGAGGTGGAGCATTGCGCACATCAGATCAGGCTACTAGCAAAGGAGGTGGACGGACCTCCTGTCAAGGTGTGCCCACTCTACGCTTCTCAAACTGGACTGCAGCAAATGAACGTCTTCAATGGGACCCCAACAGGAACGCGCAAAGTGGTGATCAGCACCAACATTGCGGAAACCAGCATTACGATTCCCGGCATCAAATTCGTCATTGATTCTGGAATGGTGAAAGTGAGGTAAGTTTTCTTAATCTTCATTGCCTAAGTTGAGGGAGGTTTGCATGCTCAGTTCTGGGAAAATCATTTCATTGATCTGCTGGGAACTTATGTCTATGAATGGAAAACTCTTGGAAATTAACCGGCTCTGGGTTTTGAGTTTTCCCTATAGAACGGGCATCAAAATTTAATGACTTATTTAATGACACGATCCACTTTACTCTTCCGGTTTTCCTAATGGCATTTCTCAATAGTCAAGCCACACATCATTAACATGGTTTGTTGCATATAGGAAGCTTCATTGTGAGGGAACTTTGTCTATGCTAAATTAAGCAGTGTCCACTTTTGCTTTTTAGTCTTTTTCTTCTTCGTCATTCTTCATTTTAGGCGAATGGCCTGTTCAATTATCGTTCACTGCGTAAGGCTCCATCGTTTCCTGGGGCGCCCAACGTCTCTTCGTCCCAATGGGGACTTTCGCGAGCGATTCTCACTAGTCTGCAGTGGTCCATCCTGCTTATGTGCTCATTCCATTCCTTCTTCCTGTTGCTACCCATTCATTGATGTTCTTCATTACAGGATGTTCTCATATCCTCGTTTATCTCCCTATTCAGCAGTGTCTTTCCGATGATTCTACGGAGTCTTTTGGTTTTCGCTGTTTTTGGCCTGATTTCTGCGGAATGTCATCCCCGGCCTCCAGACGGTTTTGTAGATCCTCGATTTAGTGTCCGTTCCCATACTCTTATTGCACCATGTTGCATTCCGGCATATCGCTATTCTGATTGCTTTTGTTGTTTGATCTCTCACCTCTGCCTCAATATCCCCAAAGCCGGAAAGTTCCTCGATTACTGTACCGTCAAGTTCCAGTTTGCATCTTAGAGGGGTTTTTGAAGTGTTAAGCACTTTGTTTTGGTCGGTGATAGGTTGAATAAGTGTAGTAACCTTGCTAAGTCATCTTCACTTTCTGCAATGAGAGCGGCATCGTCAGCATAACACGCTATTTTGATTCTGCTTTCTCCATTTTGAATCCCTTTCGCCCTCGAACAATTTCTTCCATTATTAACTTCAAAGGTAGCACTCAGGGAGTCTCCCTGACCAATACTTCTTCTATTTGTGCTCGTCTTTTATTTTTTTGTGTATACAGGGTGAATTTTTAGTGCGGTAGAGTCCATTATTTCCGATGCTGTTGAACTTTCGAAAAATAGTTTCATATAAAAGTTGTTGACGCACAAAGTGCGCACATTTTAAAAATATCTTAGATGATACAGAGTGTCTCAGAAAAGCGAGGCAAGATCAAAGTGTATTTTTTTACATAGAACTACCCATTTTTGATTAGCTAATGGAATGCGGCTTGAAGCGCTGCATATGCACGGTAAATTGTTTTTTTTCTTACTTGCGACGTTGGCAGATTATCGCCATTTTAGTAAAATTTTGCTTAAAAACATGGTATCTAAAAATTCTTTGTAAAAAAAAACTTTCTAAATTGTCTTTCTAATGACGTACTAATATACAAGGTACTTCCATTTGAAAAACAAAAGTTATATTGCGTTAAAAAGTTCTAGATTGAAGTCCACATTGTTAACATCATGTACACTGTATTAATACTTTGGTTTAATAGAATTCGTAACGGATCTGTGGCGATTGGAAAGACGTATTGTTTTGTATCACTAACTGCTTTTTTCGCATGTACAATTAATTTTTACATACCATGTTTTTAAGCAAAATTTTACTAAAATGGCGATAATCTGCCAACATCGCAAGTAAGAAAAAAACAATTGACGGTGCATATGCAGCGTTTCAAGCTGCATTCCATGAGCTAATGAAAAATGCGTAGTTTTATTTAAAAAAATACACTTTGATCTTGCCTCGCTTTTCTGAGACACTCTGTATTATGTGAGATATTTTTAAAATGTGCGCACTTTGTACCCAACAACTTTTATATAAAACCATTTTTCAAAAGTGCAACCCCATCGGAAATAATGGACTCTATCGCACTAAAAAACCGAATAACTGAAAAAACTGAATAGGTCGAACTAAAACCGACAAACGTGCCCTCTGAAGGGAATATGTCGAACTAAAATCGAGAAAAGCACCTTCTGAAAGGAATATATCAAACTAAAATCTAGAAAAGCAGCCTTTTAAGTAAATAAGTCGAACTAAAATCGAGAAAAGCGGCCTCTGAAGGGAATATGTCGAATTAAAAACTACAAAAGCGAGCTCTGAAGGGAATATGTCGAATTGAAAACTACAAAAGCGAGCTCTGAAGGGAATATGTCAAACTAAAATTTACAAAAGCGCCCTCTGAAGTGAGTAAGTCGAACTAAAATGGACAAGAACGCCCTCTGAAGTGAATAAGTCGAACCAAAATCGACAAAAGCTGCTTCTGAAGGGAATATGTCAAATTTTTTTTATAAAAGCGTTCTCTGAAGTGAATATGTCGAACTAAAATCGACAAAAACGCCCTCTGAAGTGAATAAGTCGAACCAAGATCGACAAAAGCGTCTTCTGAAGGGAATATGTCAAACTAAAATGTACAACAGTGCCCTCTGAAGTGAATAAGTCGAACTAAAATCGACAAAAGCGCCTTCTGAAGGGAATATGTCAAACATGTATGTTCTCTATGGTTTTAATGAGATTCTGCGAGATGTGCCTGTTGCAAAGGGGATGCAGGACGTCTTTCAGCTAGACACGGTCAAATGCTCTAGTTAGATCAAGAAAACATATAAAGGCTGCCATTTCTCGACTATTTGTCTTAATACGTCTTTGCAGGATCTTCCCGATCTGAATCCCTGTTGGTCGTCCGCCAACGATGGAAGATTGTTGATTTTGTTCGTAATTACTTTAGTTGTTAGTTTTAGAGCAGTGCTTAAAAGGTTTATTCCTCTATAATTTGATGGTATTCTCTTGTCCCCTTTTTTGAACATTGGCACAGTAGTGTTGGTTCCCCATTCATCTGGGATTTTGTGTTGATATATAATTTTCTGTATTAAATTAATTCTTCTGTTAGTCTTTTTCAGCAATTCGTATTTTATACTGTCTTGCCCGGCGCTTTTTCTATTTCTTAGTTTCTGTAGTGCGTTTTCTTCGTCGGATGTATTGATCGTGGCATCTTCGTTAATAGTTATTTCTGGTGTTTGTCGTTTTATACAAATTGGTTAAATATCTGATATATTCCTTTTTTATGTGGGTTGGTTCTAGCAGTTCATTGACCTTCTTTCTGTGCGATCTTATGAATCCCCATATCTGCTTTTGCAGCCCGTAGAAGTCTGCTTCCAGGCGTTTGGAGAACATTTCCCAATGATCGTTTTTGATTTTTCTCATTAATTCTTTAGTTTTGTTCCTAACTGGCTTGTTTTCGTTATATGATTCCTGTTCGCAGAGTACAATATTTTAAGTACGCTTTTCCTTTTTTTTTGGCACTGTTCCTTGACTTCTGGGCGGAACCATGGTGTCTTGTGGTTGATTACTTGGTTCACTTTTATGGTTCGTTCTCCAAGTGCCTCCCTTGCTGAATTCTTGATTCTTTCCCAAGCTAGATTGATCGGGTTTTCTTCGATTTATATTATATATTCTTCCCATAGCAGTATTTGAGTTGGGTGAAACTGCCTATTAGTCACAATGTAATCGATTGTCGATGTATCGCCTCTGTTATTTTTCAGTCTTCTGGAGCTCATTTCGCAATAATCAAGTCAAATATAAAGGAAGCTTCGCTTTAATTGTGGAGGAAATTTATCCACTTATACCAAAATAAACCATTTTTTCAGTGAATAATTCTGGAACTTCCGACACTTCAGTCATTTTCCATGTTTGAAGCGGCCCTGGAAAAATTCAAGAAAAATTCTTAATAATTCTGAAATAACTGTCTCTGAAATTGTATAAATATAAAACAGTTCCTTAACATTTTTTTAAATTACAGAACATTCTGCCCGTCAACTGGACTCGAAGTTCTGAAAGTGCAGCGAGTGTCCCAAGAACAGGCCATTCAAAGAGCTGGCAGAGCCGGTAGGGACTCGGAAGGATTCGTTCTTCGTCTTTACACCAATGAACAGTTTAAGAGGATGCGACCCAGCTCGATCCCGGAAATTCAACGTGCCAACCTGAACTCAGTGGCCCTCCAGATGTTCGCTTTAGGAGTTCGAATGTCGGACTTCGATTTTATGGATTCGCCACCAAAAAATGCAATCAACGCCGCTTTTGTTCAATTGAAACTACTGGGCGCGATTGACAGTGTCTCTGAGTCGATCACGCTGACCGAATTGGGAAAGAAGATGGTCAAGTTTCCGCTGGATCCAAGATTTAGCAAAATCCTCATTATGGCAGATCAGTTCGGATGTCTGAAGGAAGCAATCACGGTGGTGGCACTGATGTCAAGCGACTCGATCCTTCTGAATCCCCCATCAAAAAAAGAACAAGTGCAGGAGGCGAGGGAAAAGTTCCGCTCTCCATATGGCGACCACTTGACGCTCCTGAACATCTACAGGGCGTACGAGAATCTAAAGAAAGATACTGAAAAGAACTGGTGTCAGGAACATTTCCTGAACACCCGCAATCTTCTGTATGTTAAAGAAGTTCGAACTCAACTAACCGAAATTTGCAAAAGTAATGGACAGAAGCGATCGTCATGCGGTGGCCATTTAGATCAACTCAGAAAATGCCTCCTAGCCGGGTTGTTCATGAATTTCGCGGAAATTCACGGAGATACTACGTTGCGACGCGAAAAGCAGTATCTGACGCTGGACAAAGGACAGGCAGCTTTGATCCACCCCAGTTCGGTCCTCTACGGAATCCAACCAGCCTACTTACTCTTCACCGAAGTGGTTCGCACCTCCAAATGCTACTTGAGAAACCTGACGATCGTCGAAGGCGAATGGCTGAACGAAGTGGCCCCCGAATACGCTGCCAGCCGGAACTTCAAGTTCAACAACTAATCTTAAGACAGTGCTACGAGCACGTAAAGGCGCGAATACATGGAAAGAGGCAAGTTTTGTACATGTTAATGTTGTAAATAGTCACTCATTTAAGCCTCAATTCGACGTCTTCGCGCCTTCTTTTTTGTGATAAAAGAAGCTTTGATGAGACATTGAAGCTTTTTTTAAATTTTATATGTACAAATGTTTTTCAACTGAAGGCTTAGCACAGAAAAGAATCGCCTTTTTTGCTTACTTCTCCCCCAAATATGGCGCATGTTTAGGTGAACTTTACGCTTGCAACGCGCTGTTCAAACTCTTTGATTTTTCATGTACAAATTAATGTAAAAACCTTAATCGTCTCCAGTGATTTGTTAGTTACATTAAGTAATTAGTGTATAGTACAATATAGTATTAAGTACAAGTGACTACTTTTTTATATAGAAATGCAATTCATTGAGGCTTAACTCAATTCGACGCATTCGCGCCTTAATTTTTGTGATAAAAGAAGCTTTAATGAGAAACTAGTCTTTTTATCTTAATTACTAATGTTTAATACTTTTGTCTTACCTAATAATCGTTAATGATAAATTAAAGCTTCTTTTAAAATTTATATGTACAAAATTTTTTCAACTAAAGCCTTTAAGGAAGAATCTCGCCTTTTTTTGCTTACTTCCTCCCCAAATATGGCGCATTTTAGGTGAACTTTACGCGCTCTTCAAACTCTGCATTTTTTATGCACAAATTAATGTAAAAAACCTTAATCGCCTCAAGTGATTTGTAAGTTACATTAAGTAATTCGAGCACCAAACCAAACTATTTCTGGTGGAAATGGTGAATGTTCTGACGATTCAATTTAATTGTAAGTGACAACTTTTTTTATATAGAAATGCAATTCATTGAGGCTTAACTCAATTCGGCGCATTCGCGCCTTAATTTTTGTGATAAAAGAAGCTTTAATGAGAAACTAGTCTTTTTATCTTAATTACTAATGTTTACTACTTTTGTCTTACCTAATAATCTTTAATGAAAATTTAAAGCTTCTTTTAAAATTTATACGTACAATTTTTTTTCAACTAAAGCCTTTAAGGAACAATCTTGCCTTTTTTTTCTTACTTCCTCCCCAAATATGGCGCATTTTAGGTGAACTTTACGCGCTCTTCAAACTCTGCATTTTTTATGCACAAATTAATGTAAAAAACATTAATCGTCTCAAGTGATTTGTAAGTTACATTAAGTCATTCGAGCACCAAACCAAACTATTTCTGGTGGAAATGGTGAATGTTCTGACGATTCAATTTATTTATAAGTGACAACTTTTTTTTATATAGAAATGCAATTCATTGAGGTTTAACTCAACTCGACGCAATCGCGCCTTAATTTTTGTCATAAAAGAAGCTTTAATCAGAAATTAGTCTTTATCTTAATTACTAATGTTTACTACTTTTGTCTTACCTAATAATCTTTAATGCGAAATTAAAGCTTCTTTTAACATTTATATGTACAAATTTTTTTGAACTAAAGCCTTTAACTAAGAATCCCGCCTTTTTTTGCTTTTTTTCAAAAACAATTAATAATAATTTTAAATATAAAAATTAAATTGACTGGCAACATTGTTTAAAACCATTCCGGAGGCTGTCGAAAATCGTCGCTATGGCTCATCTTTGTCTAATTTTGTTCGTCTCGTCTGATTTCAGTTTCTTTGGTATGTATGTTTCTCTTATCTATGACATGCAGGTACAGGTGGTATCTGAAAAAAAATTAATGAAGATGCGAAATTATTCCTGAGGAGCTAATAAGTGTGTTATCTATCTGTTTGTTGATAAATAATGCAATCTGAATGTGGTTAAAACAAGAGAACAATTGGAAAGTGGCTTGAGAACGAAACTTATCTAATCTAGAGTGTTTTTTACTGGCATTTTGTCTTTTTGTCCATAGTAGATTTGACTCTTTTCGGCTGATATGTCTAGAACAGTGGCTGTTTTTTCCAAACACTCCACCTCTCTTTTAAACAAACTGAGGGAGCTACTGCCCTCTCTGGTGTTTGTGGAAGTTTTACCATCAGGCAAGTGTTTAAAATCGATTATTTTTTTGAGTCGCGAGACTTGTTGATTGTCTACAAAAATTTGCTACTTCTAAACGGGGGCGATGGAAATTTCTGCACACTTATATGAAAAAGCTTGATTGATAACTGTACGAAGTTTCATCAGATTCTGATCACTCCTTGATTTTCTTAGACGATTTGCAACTTTATTCAGTTCAAGTTAAGTGCAAGTCTGTATTAAAAAATCACAGATCGTAAACTGTAGCCGATGGCGTCTTGAAATTTTGAGCACTTATAGAAGAAACCTTTGTTAATAAGTGTTTAAATTTCCACGACATTCGTAACACTTTCTGATTTTCTAGCAAAATTGCCAGTTTCAATTAAACTCCAAAACTGAAAGTACGTACTTCTAAATCGCACCTCCTTAACCGGACGCGATAGGATTTTGAGCTTTTGCAAATTTATATATCTACTTATATAAGAAGCTTCTGTTGATTAGTACCCGAAATTTCAAGTGATTTCGATGACTCGTTGATTTTCGAGAAATTTAACAACTTTCAATCAAGTCCGAAATCTGTAAGTAAAAAATTACAGTTTATAAACCGAAAATGAAGGAATTTTGCACCTTTGAGCTTTGGAACACTAACGTAAGAAGCTTTTGCGGAGAAATGGACGAAATTTCGAATGACTCAAAGCAGTCATCGATTTTCTGGAAAATTTAAAACCGGTTAGTCAGAAATGTGGCTAAATGCATATTTGTACTTAAAAAATTCAAAACTCGCAAGCCGGTGGCAATGGAATTATGAGCTTTTATAGACTTACATAAGAAGCCTTTGTGGATTAGTGTACAAAATTGCAAATGATTCGAAGCACACATGGATTTTTTGGAAAATTTTAAACTTTCAGTCAGTCATAAATATGGCTCAAAAGTGCATGTTTGCACTTGAAAAAATCCAGCTCCTCAACTAATTTCGAAAAGATTTATTTTTTTGTATATTTAGAGAAAAATCCCTTGTGTATAAGTGTAACAAATTTCATTTGACTCGGAGCTCTCATTGATTTTCTGAGAAATTTGAAACCTGCAGTTTTTCAGAAAAGTGCATGTCTGTTCTTAAGAAAATCACTACTCGCATACCAGTGGCGATGGAATCTTGAGCTTCCGTACACTTACATAAGAAGCCTTTGTGGATTAGTGTACAAAATTGCAAATGACTCGAAACACACATGTATTTTTCAGGAAATTTTAAGCTTTCAGTTAGTCAGCAAAGTGGCTCAAAAGTGCATGTTCGCACTTAAAAAATTCCAGCTCCTCAACTAGAATCCAAAAGATTTTAATGTAATGCACATTTAGAGAAAAATCCCCGTTGTATAAGTGTAACAAATTTCATTTGACTCGGAGCACTTTTTGATTTTTTGAGAAATTTTAAACTTTCAGTTTTTCAGAAAGTGCATGTCTGTCTTAAAAAAATCACTACTCGCAAACCGGTTGCGATGGAATTTTGAGCTTCCGTACACTTACATGAAAAGCCTTTGTGGATTAGTGTACAAAATTGCAAATGACTCGAAACACACATGGATTTTTCGGGAAATTTTAAGCTTTCAGTTAGTCAGAAATGTGACTCAAAAGTGTATGTAGCACTTGAAAAATTCCAGCTCATCAACTAGTATCGAAAAAATTTTCATTTTTTGCGTATTTGGAGAAAAATAACCTATCTATAAGTGTACTAAATTTGATTTGATTCGGAGCACTTATTGATTTTCTGAGAAATTTTAAACTTTCAGTTTTTCAGAAATGTGCATGTCTGTTCTTAAAAAAATCACTACTCGCAAACCGGTTGCGATGGAATTTTCAGCTTCCGTACACTTACATAAGAAGCCTTTGTGGATTAGTGTACAAAATTGCAAATGACTCGAAACACGCATGGATTTTTGAGGAAATTTTAAGCTTTCAGTTAGTCAGAAAAGTGGCTCAAAAGTGCATGTTCGCACTTAAACTTCCAGCTCCTCAACTAGAATCCAAAAGATTTTAATGTAATGCACATTTAGAGAAAAATCCCCGTTGTATAAGTGTAACAAATTTCATTTAACTCGGAGCACTTTTTGATTTTTTAAGAAATTTTAAACTTTCAGTTTTTCAGAAAGTGCATGTCTGTCTTAAAAAAATAACTACTCGCAAACCGGTTGCGATGGAATTTTGAGCTTCTGTACACTTACATAAGAAGCCTTTGTCGATTAGTGTACAAAATTGCAAATGACTCGAAACACAAGGATTTTTGAGGAAATTTTAAACTTTCAGTTAGTCAGAAATGTGGCTCAAAAGTGCATGTTCGCACTTAAAAAATTCCATCTCCTCAACTAGTTCCCAAAAGATTTTAATTTTTTGCGTATTAAGAACAACATAACCTGTGTATAAGTGTACGAAATCTCGTTTGATTCGGAGCACTTATAAATTTTCTGAAAAATTTGAAACTCAGTTTTCCAGAAAAGTGCATGTCTGTTTTTAAAAAAATCACTACTCGCAAACCGGTTGCGATGGAATTTTGAGCTTTCGTACACTTACATAAGAAGCCTTTGTGGATTAGTGTACAAAATTGCAAATGACTCGAAACACACATGGATTTTTGAGGAAATTTTAAACTTTCAGTTAGTCAGAAATGTGGCTCAAAAGTGCATGTTTGCATTTGAAAAAATCCAGCTTCTCAACTAGTTCCCAAAAGATTTAATTTTTTGCATATTTAGATAAAAATCTCTTGTGTATAAGTGTAACAAATTTCATTTGACTCGGAGCTCTCATTGATTTTCTGAGAAATTTGAAACCTGCAGTTTTTCAGAAAAGTGCATGTCTGTTCTTAAAAAAATCACTACTCGCAAACCGGTGGGGATGGAATTTTGAGCTTCTGTACACCTACATAAGAAGCCTTTGTGGATTAGTGTACAAAATTTCAAACGACTCGAACCACACAAGAAAATTTCAAACTTTCAGTTAAATGACAAATCAGGCTCAAAGTGAATGCCTGAACTTAAAAAATTACAGCTTGCAAACTAAGAGCGATGACATCTGGAACTTTCGGACCTTTATAGAAGAAGCCTTTATCTACAAGTCTGCAAAATTTCACTCGATTGCGAAAACTCATTGATTTTCTAGATAATTTTCAACTTTCAATCATTGCAAATCACATTTTCCCCGCAAAACAGACCTATCGCCTCTCAAGGAGGCGGAGATCATTGTTGGCGACTACAATCTGATCGCCCCACATCTCTATCAACTTCCCAAACTCAAATGGGTGCAGGGAACATGGGCCGGCCTGGACTCTTTGTGGCCCCACATCGACAGGCAAGCGCCCCCAAAGTTCCCCATTACGCGAACATCGGGGGAAAACTTCGGAACACTCATGCGAGAATACGTGATAGCCAACATGGTGTTTTGGGAAAGAAACTACTTCAAGGTGAGACTTTTTGGCAGTTTCATCGGCAGCTAATCAGGGCGACTGTTGCAGGCGATAGAGAACCAGAAAGCGAAGCTCTATGATAGAGACGTGAGCCCTAACGACTATCGCTCGATTGCGGACCTGAAGGTCGCCATATTGGGAGTGGGGTCTATTGGAAGCATTAGTGAGTAGGAGAATTGGGAAAAGTTGGAAAACAAACTGCCTCTAAAACCCCTTTTCCAGTTGGAAGATCTTTGAAAGGTTTGGGGGCGACAGTGTATGGTATGGGGCGCAGAGCGACAATCCCGCTGGAGGCCCCGGAAAATGCTTATTTGGAGAAATACTATAACAAAACCGGGCTTGGCGAGCTGCTGAGCAGCGTGGATTACATCGTGAATGTTCTGCCCAAAACCCCGGAAACTACCAATATTTTAGGGAATGGAATGTTGAAACACTGCAAAAGTAATTTTTTGTGGTTGTTGGTACAGGAGAGTGGGAGAGTGAACATCAGGCTACGCAATTGGGCTTGTCCGAGGACTTTTTGCGAAGCAAACTAACTCACTTTGGTGTGCGTTTTGACCTGCGAATTTTTTCTTCTGAACGAAGCTTCCCTACAAAAAAACTTTGCTCTTTCGGCTGGGGATTTTTCGCATCCGCCTCAGAAATGGTTTTTGAAAACTTTCGACAAACTTAAAGTGATTAAAGAATTTATCCCGATATCCTTAAAGCGACAGACGAGTTTCTTGCAGAGATGTCGAACACGACACTCTCAACTGGGGATTTTTTGGATTCAATTGGCAATGAACATGTAAGAAATTTACAGTAAAAAAATGTCTGTTGAGTGAAAATAAGCACATTTTCACAAACCCAGTTTGGGATGCATTTTGTCTATATAAAGAAAAAATTGAATTAAAAACTTTTTGATCGAAAAATTTATCAGGGTTGGGTTGGAGAAAAGATTTTCCTTGAATTTCCCATACTTATCTTTTATTTTCCTCGGAAATGCCAAAAAACAACGTCAATTAATTGAAAATTAGCGTAATAGTAGAATTTGCGCGTTTCATGGAGCCTTGAAGTTGCGCCCCCCATAAGAGCCTGTTCGAAGATTTACTTCTTACCCTTCTAGCCCTTTGGCATGAAACCCACTTTGGCATGAAATTTGTGCACATAAAAAATTCTGAAAAGAAAAAATTTTAAAAAATGTTTCTCATCGAAAAATTCATTAGCCAAACCCTAAATATTTTCACATTTTATTTTTTTTTTATTGAAAATAAAGCTTCAAACGAAGAAATTGATCTTGATAAAATGTCCGGACTGATCCAAGATACACAGTGGCGATTATTTCTGGTATGCATATGAACAATTTTTGGAAAAAATATCCAAAAACGTCTCAAAAAAAACAAATTTTCAAAACCGAACTCGCTGGGTAGAGGCGGTTAATGGCGCTAAAAATTTGGGACTCACTGGATAATAAGCAAAATATTGGAGATTTTTGGATTTTGGTTCAAATTTACTAAGATCCATTATGAAATGGCGATTTTTTCGCAAACCACACAGTGGGTGCAATTGAAATCAAATATATTGAAATAAACTAACTTAAATATAGTGAAAATTGACCGAATTAGTGGGAGTTTGAAAGTTTTATTAAGCATTTAAGCCCGCCGATCTATACAAACCTTTTTGCCTCTCTTGCTCAACCGGGAACTTTTTCCGGAACAAACCGACTCATTTTGGTATGCATTTTGCAGGAAGGAAAAATGCAGAAAAATAAGCTCTTGTTTTTTTTAACCGGAAAATTAATCCGTGCAACCCAAAGGATTTTGCTCGATTTTCACATTACATTTTTTTCTCGAAATTGATTATTCATAACAAAAAAATCTGCTCTTGATAAAATGTCCGGGCTGTTCCACGATACCCAGTGGCAGCTCAGTCTCGGGACACGTGAACACGGACAAAAGGGACACGTAAACGTTTTTCGAAAAATCATAGCCGTTTTAAAAAAGTCTGAATTTTTCTAAAACTAAAATCGCTGGGAAAAATTAGAGCACGCCACTGAATGAAGGTGGTTAATGTCGTTAAAAATGCAGTATTCACTTTTCCTCCAAGGTGGCTCCCTTGTGCTATCGGAGATTTTTCGGTCTCTACCCAAATTTCATTCATGTTCAAATGGCGATTGATTTTCCTGACCCAGAGAAGTGTAATAGAGAATTTATTAAGCTAACAAAAGGAAGGTGAAAATAGTGAAAATTGGCCCAGTTTGTGAGAATTTGGTCGTTTTAAGAAGAATCGGGGAATTATTTCCGGAATAAACCTACCTTCTTTTAGATTTTGTCTATGTGAAACCAAGTTGGAAAAATTCAAAGAAAAGTAATTTTGTTTTTTGACCCAACAATTCATCCGGCCAAACGCCCTAAGAAATTTGCTTGATTTCACATTTAATTTTTTTTAAGCTGCTCTTGGCAAAATGTTCGAGTTGTCCAATAAATCTTAACAATTTTCCAAAAAATATCAAAATCGTCGTTTCAACAAAATCTAAATATGTATTTGCAAAACTGAATTCGCTGATGAATGATGGGCACGCCACTGGATAGAGGCGGTTAATGGCGCTAAAAATTTGGGACTCACTGAATAATAAACGAAATATTGGAGATCTTTGGATTTTGACTCAAATTTACTCAGATCCATTTTTAAATGGCGATTTTTTCGCAAACCACACAGTGGGTGCAATTGAAATCAAATATATTGAAATAAACTAACTTAAATATATTGAAAATTGATCGAATTAGTGGAAGTTTGAAAGTTTTATTAACCATTTAAGCCCGCCCATCTATACAAACTTTTTTGCCTCTCTTGCTCAACCGGGCACTTTTCCGGAACAAACCAACTCACTTTGGTATGCATTTTGCAGGACGGAAAAATGCATACCACCCGGAAAATTAATCCGTGCAACCCAAAGGATTTTGCTCGATTTTCACATCACAAATTTTTATCTCAAAATTGATTATTCTGACCCCGAGAAGTGTAATAGAGAATTTATTAAGCTAACAAAAGAAAGGTGAAAATAGTGAAAATTGGCCCAGTTTGTGAGAATTTGGCCGTTTTAAGAAGAATCGGGGAATTATTCATTCCAGATTCCCATTCAGAATTGCATATCCGCAAATTCGTGAAAGGAAATTAAAAGTATGTCACAGTTTGACAAATTATTGTTATTATTGACAACGGCTGTCTACCTGTAACTATCTGTTAATGACAAAAAACATCATTGCCGCTGTGCTTTTTCATCAAAAAATTGTAGAAGAGAACTTTTCTGATATAAAAAATTTTCGTAATTTGAAGCAAAGATGGTAATTTTTCTTTTTGAATGCTTAAGTATTCCAATATGCTACCAATTAAACATGGAACAATTTCAAAATAATGC